GCGAACGCGCGCTCCTCTCTCGACCACTGCATGGTCGCAACTGAACTGAGTGGACGAAAAACTTCATAGCCCGCGCACCATATTGCGCATGGCGCCACCTTCCTAGGACTAATGGCCGCCACGTGGCGCGCAATTCAAATAAGTAAGTTCCCGCGCCGCACCCTGTATTTCCTCCGAGTAAGCTGTCCAGTCTGCTTTGTGGTAATTTGTGAAAGATCTGTTATAAGTTGTTATGCGGTAGTTAGTTTTGGTGCGAAAGTGTAATATGATAGGAACGTGATCGGAACTGAGAGCTGTGATAGTTGACCATGTTATCTTGTTTGAGATGACGTTAGAGGCTGTAGATATGTCTGGTGATGTGGGTTGCTGTTCTATTGTAGTGGGTATGCGTGTGGGCGAGTATGATGTGGTTGGAGTTTTGTATGAGTGAGTTAATAAGGTTGCCTCTTGGTCTGAGTTTGGAGAGTACCAGGATGGGAGCATTGATCTCTCCTGTAATAATGGTATAAGGCTTGTTGAGGAGGTATGTGAAACTGTCAGTGAAGTGTTGGTCTAGGTTATGATGGTACGGTAGGCGTGCGTCTCAGGGAGGGATGTAAATGATAGCTATGTGGATGAATTTGTTGTTGGAGAGATGCATTTTGACTAGTTGGGTTTCACTGGCTTCTTGGTTGATGTGTTGTGGAATTGTGATTGCTGTGAAAACTATGTTATTGTGAATGTTGGTGATGAGTCCGCCTCCTGTCTTGTGTGCCCTATCTTGACGAATAGCAGTGTAGTCGGGTATAGTGGGTGTGCGAGTCGTCGGTTCCAAGTTTGGATTCTTGGATTGTGATGGTGTCGATGTCATGTTGTTTCGTGGTTAGTTTGAGGTCTTCTATATTGCTTGCGAGTCCATTAGTATTTATCTGCATTATTTTGACGTCTGAGGGTGTTTTTCTGGGTCTGACGGAGGCTGAGGGGATTGTGTGAGGTTGTTAGGTGGAGTGGGTAGCGGAGGCAAAGGAGGTTGGGGTGCCGTGACTGGGTTTAGAACGAATTGCAATGATGGCGGCGGTGATGTATTTGGTCAGGGAGGGATTGGTAGAGTGTGTTGGTGATAGGTCCAGGAATTTCTGTATTGATGGAGTTGTATGTTTTTACGGACCCAATGTGAGGCGAGACTATTACACAGAAAAGAGTATTGGCGTTTAGTGATTTGTCTATTGCATATGTCACACATCCAAGTCTGACCCGGGTTCTCCTCGACATCCCCCGCAAGTAGCAACACAGACGCCGACCACACGTGGGAAGCCGCAGGCCGGCAGCATAAAAAAACATGGGCTTCGGGTCCCCCTTTCGGAGGACGGGGAAAAGTTAGCTGTCGATTTGGGTCCGCATACGGGCCGTGCTCCAACCGCAGGCAGGCCGACAGCATTTGGAGCCCCTTACTTTGCTCTGCACCGTCATTCCTGTGTGTCACTTATCCTATGTTCAGTTCCGTAGTTCTGGTTTTGCGTTAGGTATTAGGATTTTTTTAACCATTCATTTATTAGTGTTCAATTAGCGTGTTTTTAATTAATATTTGTTCATTATGCTTTCATTTCTCCTTTGTTGAGGATATGTGGCAGTTTTGGGTTAATTCCCGAGTCAACTTGGAGTCGTCCTTACTTCAACTTTACATCGACTGAGAACAGTAGCGGAAAATTTATCCCCTCCGGGCTTTGGCCAACATTCAATTTTCTGGTCAATTTTTGGCTTGCACGCACTGTTACAAGTAGGAGTAATGTAGCCATCAACCGCTTCATTTCGTTGACCTAGTTGTTGTGGCGCAGTATTATCGTCATCCGAATCGTAGTAAATTGTATAAGTGTCACTGTGAGTGTGTTCCTGGCATGCTTCAGGCGCCGATTAATTACAGCCCTGTGATCAGCTGGCAAAGTTGGAGTGTTGGCACTTGGCAGGTTCCGCGTACTGAAGTCTGCATGTGTGTAGCCTCATGTAGGATCCACCATACTTCACCAGTACTATTTTACCATCTTTTACGATGATAACGCCAGGACCGTGCCATCAATCTCGACGCTTGAGATATGCACTATCTCCATTAACCAGATCATCCACGTCCGATGTTCGTACTTGATGCAGCAATGCCCTCCCTAACTTTTCGCTGGACTCGTTCTTCAAGAAATCCTCCCGTGCGGCGTGTATAACATTTAGATTATCGGCAAACATTATGTATGGTGTCCGGTTTTCAATAGAAAGAAGCCTTTCGTCATACATGCCGGGAAAAGATGGGTTCGTTCCAATAACCAGCTGGTTTGGCGAGTATCCATGACAGTTCAGCAGTAAATTCCGAGCAGAGACGGCCCAGGACAAAGCTACACTTAGTTCACATTGAGTGTCATCGAGAATCTTCTGCACGCTAAGGCCCAGGCCCGTATACAATTGAAACGCTCGCAGACCCATGGAGCCTCGGCAGCGGCGCAAACCAACTTTATGGCAAAACTATCAGCAATAACGTGTTTACTTCTGTCAAAATCCGTCAAAATAGTCTCTGCTCCACATCCTTTTTCTACTGATCATAATCTCCATCTTCTTTAAACACAGGAGGAACATAGTAGTAACGGTTCTCGCTAAAGCCATTTCGCACGCTCTGCTACAAATTGTTAATAGCACACGCTCGGAATATGCTCACCCTTTCGTGGTTCACGCGAGACTTTTGTCCCAACTCTCTACAGCATTGCCGCCAACTTGCGTCACGTTGCAGCCAGCCCACGCCTCGTAGGCTACCGGCGCTCCCTGAACCTGGCGCTCCCAGCACAAAGCCATCTCACGACCGAGCAAGTGTGACGTCACAACCACTCGGCAGCACCAGCAGACCCATCAGATATTAACAAAACGAAAATATGGATCGAATAAAACGACTAAGCACTAGATTCATAGGCTCTGCGAAATAGTTCCATCTTTAGGCGTCGACGAACACCTGCAACGAAGGTGTCCGGTGTCAATCTGGCGTCTCATTATAACTATACGTAATTGAGACGTAATATTCACTTGACCTGATAGAGATTGATGACATGAGTCAGCATCTGAAAGACACGAGATAGATCACGCGATCAAGACCTCAGTAGTGAGCGGAAGCGAATGCTATATAAGGGATAGCAACCTTAAGTAAGCCCCCCACCCGCAGTAGTTGATAAGCGCTAGGCGATGTAGCGTGTCGGTAGAGTTCTCCGACCTTACGGTCGACGACGTAGCTTATACCTCTGTATCGTTCTCCTGTTTAACCACCCCGTATATAAGAGATGTTATCATACACAAAAGTGTTAATTATCCTCAACGACCTTAGTCACGTAACCCGATCTTCAGGTTGAGCATAATATATGAGCTCTGACAAGTAGCGCCCGAACAAAGGAGTCGAAGTTACGGAAGCCGGCAGACTGTTACAGGTTCTGGCGGCGGAGACCCGGAACGCTCAGTCGTCGACGGTAGATAGACGTGTAGATGGTACGATGAGGTCCGCTGTTGATGACGAGTGCAATCGTCTTCTAAAAGGCAGATCCGACACGCGCGCTGCAGACCTTCCGTGAGCTAAGGAGGCGCCAGACCGTGAAGGCATCGAACGTCAGAACAGCGACCTTGAACTGCGTGCGCTGCTGTATGCGTAGCCAGTAAATATCACGCAATATCGGCGTAACATGGTCAAATTTTCGCTTATTGCACACGAGTTGAGCAGCAGCGTTCATTACGGGTTGCAGTATATTAAGTGCTGTGGTGGGACGTCCATAAAGTGTGGCATTACCCAATCTGATCAGAACGAGCGCCACCACAAGGGCCTCAAGGACCGGCCTCGAAAGACAGCTGCCGATGCCACGTATTCGTCGCAAAGCGCCAAAGCAAGTGGTTGTGACTTTGGCAATGTGACTCTTCATTGAAAATTCCGAGTCCAGCAGAATGCCCAGGTTGCGAACTACGGCGAACGCGTTGCCAACGCGAGCAGGGTTGGCCGGAAACTTATGCTAGCTCCGAGCAGTCGCAAACCAAATAAAGTCGGTTTTTGATGCATTGAGCTGGAGCTGGTTAGAGCGCATCCAGTCTGAATCAGCGTCCATGCCAGCAGACATTCAATCCTGCAACGCTGCGGCGTCAGCCGGTGCACCGTAGTCATAAATTTGGGTGTCGTCGGCGAACATATACGGATTCAAACTATGTGAATAGATTATATGAAATACGTTTTAGAGCGTGACTTGTAGATTTAGACTTGCAGGATTGTTCATGAGTAATTTAAGATCATTTGCACTGAGATCGGATAAATTCTAATCTATTAACATGAAAAATTTGTCATTTACAAATAGATTATTCAAACCCCATGTAAGCCACCAGTGATCCATTTAGGAAAACTTGTATGCCTACCTTCGAATATGCAACTTGTACCAGACCACATGGAGAGTAGGTACTCAAATAAACATAAAAATAAAGTTCATATTGTAAGTGCAAGATATTAATTGTCAATTTACCTTCATGCAAGTGATAACTTCAATGCGAGTCTGGATGTTGGTTGTGGTGCTATTCCGGGTCATGGTATCAGTGGCGGTGATGGGCTGATACTTGATGGTGGTCCCTACAGTGCTGCCAGTACCTGCTCAGGAATAAACACTAGTCAAAGATCTCAGAAGATTTGGAGGAGCAAATTTGTAAGCTCGGACAGAGACCAATATTCTTAGGTGCACTGGAATAAAAACAACAACAACGAGGCAAGAGGTTTTCATTGCAAATAGCTCTTCAATAATTCGGNAAAGACACAACTGATACCATACGATTAACTAACCATGCATCATTTAATCTCAATATTGGCATTAAACACGATACCCCTTCGATAAATAACTGAAATAACTCGTACAAACCACCAGGTTTGTTCTGCTGAGTGTTTTGGCCGAATGCAAAACTTCCAGTTGATGTTCCTGTCGTTTGGCCGAATGATGGAGTTGTGGTGCTGCTGCCAAAAAGACCGCCACTGCTGCTAGGTGCGGCAAACCCTGAAGCAAATAGCAACAATCATGATATACATATTTAAATTTTTACAAATCAACTACGACTGTATTACACATATGAATTAGAATAATCATCAACGAACATCAATAATTTTGAGAAATGGGACTTTCAATATTATAACATGTAATAAATTTTACGGGTTGATTGGTCATTTACCGTTATAACCTCAGTTGACTGGAAGAGCTGTATTTTAACAGTTGCCTCTGCCTAATTTGATCGCAAGACAAATTTAAAAGAATCAACAGCTAAAGAAGCATCAGATGCTTCTCTGAAATAATGTGAGTTGCAAGAGCTGCTGACCTGTATTGGTAGATTCAACAAGTGGTTTTGTCTCGGCAGGTTTCTGACCAAAGAGACCCCCAGTGTTGGTGGCAGTGGAGCCAAAGAAACCTCCTGTAGAGGCTGTTTTCTGACCAAAAGCCCCTGTCATGAGGCCACCTCTTTGTCCTGGACCATTACGATTGGTCAAATAATCTTCAACTCGAAGCTCTTCAAGAGACTTGTTTTTATACTCCTGCCCAGAAACATATCAAACGTCAGCTGTAGAAGAATAGTCTTAAAACCACAAAAACAAGTCACATAGTTTCACCATTTTATTATTATTATTCAAAGGAAGCATTTATCGTGGCGTCTGGTTCAAACAAACTTCGAGGGCACGTTACACAAAAGACTAATAGCAAGCGAAAAATAAATACACAATAACACACGCTCGGAAGATGCTCATCCCATCATGGTTCACGCTAGACTCTTGTCCCCAATAGTATTGCCGCCAACTTGAGTCACGTTGTAGCTAGCCCACGCCACGTAGGCTACCGGCGCTCCTTGAACCAATCAGCGCGCAGCACAAAGCCATCCCACGACCGAACAAGTGTGACGTCACAACCACTCGGCACCATCAGCCGAGCCAAACAACAGCCAAAACATTTCTCCTCATTTTTTTTTCTACAATAAACAAAATGTAACCGACTACAAAAATATAACAAAGAACGAGAAATCAACAATACAACGAAACAAAATAACGAAAGTATTAAACTTAGTAATTTAGTAAACCACTATTTATAAATTAGTATTGTTGAACAGGTTCTACTGGCTACTGGTAGAGCAGCCACCAATCGCTGACGAAGGAGGTTTAGGACAAGCGCCTCTTTTTGTAAGAACATTGGCTAGTTGTAGGGATGACCTAACCCACATGATGCTTTGAATGTCACGCTTTGACAATAGCAGCCACCAATCGCTGACAAAAGAGGTTTAGGACAAGCGCCTCTCTTTGTAAGAACATTGGCTAGTTGTAAGGATGACCGAACCCACGTGATGCTTTGAATGTCACGCTTTGACAACATATCACGTAGGACTGCCATATTTATACGAAGATGTTTGTCTTCAATTGCTTTAGTGGAGTGCACGGCATCAACGAGGGATCTATTGTCAACGAAACACTTCACGACAAAGTCACCGACAGAAAGATTCAGACGCCCAGCTAACAGAGTTGAATGTACACCCCAGCCTCAACAGAATCCAAAAGAGCTAAAGTTTTAGCAGCTTAAGTACACTTCACCACCCTTCGAAGTCGCTTGAACTGCCAGGTTACCGGACATCTCTTCCCATCACTATCAACAATGGAGATGACATGACCTCCCTGTGAACCACCGTCTTTAAGATTACCGAATTTTGCATCACTATAGCATTCAATTGTCAACTGGTTCTGGTCGCGAAGCTTTGAATACTGGACAACCACAGAACGATTGTACCGTCTTAACGACCTTGTTGGCACGAAAAAGCTCGTGGACTCGAGCTTTGTCAAAGACAGAGCTCAACTCACAGACGTCAAATGAAATATCTGGACGAGCTTGGGTAGCAATCCAGTTCAGGGCCTATACTTTCAAAAATAGTTAAGAGATCGTAAGTTCATCCGCCAATCATGGACGGCCTTTCGAGAAAAATTCACCAATCATAGACAAGAAAACAGAGCGTAAGTACATACGTTCACTTAGCGAGTTTTGAAAGTATGGCACCAGTTGTCCAACCAATGCTCGGTAATCACTTTTTTCCATTTCCAAATTCTCTTATCCTTTCTCTTATCTTATCCTTTTTTCTTATCGAGTTCCCTTATCCTTTCTCTTATCGTTCTCTAATCCTTACGACTTCTTTTATCCTTTCCTTCCAATTTGACCTCTTCCAACGATCGAATGTAGTCATCTTGGCTTGATCCAATTCAGCCGGCTGAATCTCTTTCCAAGTGCACACAGATGTACTTCAAGGAACCACGGCTCGTTGTCCCGATGAGGAACTTCCCTAGCAACAATTCTACAATGGGCCCATGCGACAAAGTGGAAAAGAGGTGGCATTATGGTTTCAACATATGGGGCCCGCATTGCTGCTATCTTACTCAGAGGCTGCGTGACATTGTTATGTGGCTACAACATTGTACAAATAAAATAGAACCAGTAAAGAAATCAGTGGTGTTGTGCCATATGGCGTTCATGTGGCAAACCAAGATAATACTGAAAATCCAAGTGTTTGTCTCAATGTTGATGTACTAAACAACAATTAGTGAACTCAGACACAGAAAACGTACAGGACAACAAATATTTTAGTTCATAAAACTTATTTTAGTTCATAACTCGAAAATTGTTAATGATCTCATATCAAAATACGACTATTTGTGTAATGATCGGCAAAAAATTCAATAAAATAACATGAATATTAATTTAGAGAATTTCTTTCAATTTGAATTGCCTGAAATTTTAAGTCATGAAATACGTAGCGAATTGTCTATTGTCCACTTCCACTCGAATTCATAGTTTGGAAATTGCATCATGCACTTGAGTTGTGATAAAAAAGAATTCTTTCGAAGGCAGTGTGGAGTTTGAACGTGTATCCATTCCGTGGGCACTCGAACAACGTTCGTTTGAACGATGAACGAACGAGTATGTCCGATAATAAGTTCATAGAATTTATTTTAGTTCATAAATCGAAAATTGTTAATGATCTCATATCAAAATACGACTATTTGTGTAATGATCTGCAAATAATTCAATAGAATGACATGAATATTAATTGAGGGAATTTCTTTCATTTGAATTGCCCTAAAATTTAAAATCGTGAGATACGTAGCGAATTGTCTATAGTCCACTTGCACTCGAATTCATAGTTTGGAAATTGCATAGTGCACTTGAGTTGTGATTAAAAAGAATTATTTTGAAGGCAGTATAAAGTTTGAAGGTACAACCGTCACGCGGGCACTCATGCAAACGATGTTCGTTTGAACGAAGATCGAACGAGTTATGCCGGTACGGCCATGACTAGCTTCCAGTGCTAGTAGTGTCGTTAGTCTGCTCATTCGTGTAGTTACGATTACGAGTATACTCTTGAAGGTTGTCCACCTAAGTGCTCGTGTTTCCTGTAATGTTCCTGTGTATTTAATTACCATGTACTTCGTCACATAGGAGAGTGATTAAAGGAGTGCTCACGTTTTTCGAGGCAGTATAAAGTTTGAAGGTTCAACCGTCACGCGGGAACTCCTTCAGACGACATTCGTTTGAACGATGAATGAACGAGTAGCTAGGTCCGATCCATGGCTAACTTCCAGTAGTGTCGTCAGTTGTGCAGTTCCGAGTATATTCGTGCAAGGTTGTCCTTCTAAATGCTTGTGTTTCCTGTAATATTTCTGTGTATTTTAATTACCATCTACTCACTGTACTGTGTCTCTAGGAGAGTGATTGGAAGAGAGCTCACGTTTTGTGCAGCGGTGTGATCTGTGATAGAAATGTGCTCGAGAAGCGGTCAGTAAGTAAAGCCAAATTTGCAAGCCTTGCCATTCGAAACAGGGCACGCCTGCTCTGAAAATTTCAGAGCTCAGAAGATATTCCGACAATGATTTCTACCATTTCAGGAACGCATTGCAGTACTGCAGTTCACGTTCAGTTCAGTTGTGAGCCGGTGAGGTACGCTGGTACTGGCAGTGTTTCAGTTCATATTTTCATATAAGATATATTTTCCATAAAATATATAGGTATTTCCATAAAGATGTATTTACACTATTCTCACGTAGAGATAGATTTCCATATAGAAATATTGTTACTTAAACATAGAGATGGACTGATGAAGCATAAAGCACTGCAAGACTGATAGATCCCCGCAGTAAAAAGCGCCTCGTGTGAAAGATTGCGATGTAAATACTGCCGCGGCATTTTTGACGCGCGCAATATCTACTGCCCTGTGTGAAAGGGGCTTAAGTTAGGGACGGCAGCCGCAATGACCAATGGCGTTCGGTGATGCAGTACTAGCAGTAATACTAATACTAGTACAAGTATTCCTCATCTAGTATTAATATTTATTTATATCATTGTTTTAAATTTATGTATTATCATTTATTGTTATCAGTTACCTTTTACTTTCTCATCAATTGCTCATCATTTTCCCATATTTTTCTCATCATTTTCAGTATCATCATTTTTTCATTTCCCCGTCATTTATTAAACAATTTCCCATCATTTTTCTATCCTTTTTCCATTTTCTCATTTCTCCATTATTTTCTTATCCTTTTCACATCGTTTTCTCAAAATTTCCCCACCTTTTTCCATTTATTTTCCCATCATATTCTCATTATTTTCCCCATCATTTTCCAGAATTTTTCCATCATTTTCTTTTGTTTTTTCCATTGTTTTTTCACCATTTCTTCCATAATTTTTCAGCATTTTCCCACCATTTTCTCATAATTTTCGCACCATATTCCATTCATTTTCCTGTTATTTAACCGTCATTTCCCATAATTTTCTCATCTTTTTCCCATCCTTTTCTCATCATTTTCACATTATTTTCCCATTATATTCCCAACCATTTTCCATTCATTTTTCCATCCTTTACCCATCGCTTACCCATCATTAATCTGTCATTTACCTCTCATTACCTATCGTTTGCCATTATATAATGAATGAATTAATTCATTATATATGAGTAAATGAACCCATCCTATCAATGAACCCATTTCCATCATTCATTCATTATTTTTTCATTATTCAATCATAATTATCATTCATTCATCATTCATTAATAATTCAATCATCATTCAGTCTTTATTCATTTATTCATCATTTAATCATCAATTATTACACTCATATTATCAAACATCAATCATTCAATTTATTAAAAATATTGGTTTTTCAGACTTATCAAAAGTCATTATTAAGTCAATATTATTTAGTCATTTTTAAGGCTTGTATTCAAAGCCGCCCGAACTCCACAGCGACCTTGCTCGAGTTAGCTGCCGAGACGCGTAGGGGCTGGTTATCTTACGTCTGGCCGACGCGATGCCGTATAGGAATGCGTGCTAGCGCAGCCGTGTCGGGCTGGACCACCGTACAAGCTCAATACAGTGCACATGTAATGAATGAGCTTTGACTACTGCCAGCAAATTCTTTGCTATTTACAGCGCGATCGCGCGATCTTAAAAAAAACAAATAAACATAAAACATAATGATGTGCCGTCATTTTAAATCTTTTTCCATGTTATTT